GCACATTTTATTGGACCAGCTTCTGTGAAAGCTCAAAAGCTCTCTTACCCACAGAAGTTTGTGCAATAAAAGCTATTACCCACATGGAAATCTTTGTGAACTATGAGAAATGCCTCAGTCTGCTTTTGCCTAATCAGAAATTGTTAAAGGATAACCCTAAGGAAGGTCAAATCTACACAATCATTATATGATAAGTTTCACAAGACAATGAAGAGATGACCATATAATGGAGAGATATGCTTCATACCTCTAGGTTAAAGGAACATAGTTGAGGTTGTTTGGATAAGTTAACTGCACTTCTACAAACTTTAAAATAAAATCAGGAAAGAGGTTGCAAAGTAGCAAGAGAGGCAAACATGGTAGGAGACCGGATTGGCTTACAGGGGAAATCCTTGGTGAACTTAAGCACAAAAAGGAAGCTTACAAAGAGTGGAAACTTGGACAAATGACATGGGAGGGGTTTAAATGTATACCTTGAGAATGCCTGGGATTTATCAAATGGAAAGCACAAATGGAATTGCGACTGGCTAAGGGTGTGAAGGATAACAAGAAAGGTTTCTACAGGAATGTTAACAAGAAAAAGGTGATCAGAGAGGGTGTGCGGCCCCTACTGGATGAAGGAGGTAACCTAGTGACAGATGACGTGGGGAAAGCTGAAGTACTCAATGCTTTCTTTGCTTCTGTATTCATGGATAAGGTGGGCTACCAGACTAATGCGCTAAGTGACGCAAGATGGGATGAGGATGGACAGCCCTTGGTGGGTAAAGAACAGCTTAGGAACTATTTAGAAAAGCTAAACGTACACAAATCCATGGGTCTGGACTTAATGCATCTGAGGGTACTGAGGGAGTTGGCAAAATGTCATTGAGGAGCCTTTGGCCATTATCTTTGAAAAGTCATGGAAGTTGGAAGAAATTTCAGGTGATTGGAGAAAGGCAAATGTAGTGCCCATCTTCAAAAAAGGGAAGAAGGACGATCCAGGGAACTATAGGCTGGTCAGTCTTACCTCGGTTCCTGGAAAAATCATGGAAGGGATCCTTAAGGAATCCATTTTGAGGCACTTGGAAGAGAGGAAAGTGATTAGGAATAGTCAGCATGGATTCACAAAGGGAAAGTCGTGCCTGACCAATCTGATTAGCTTCTATGATGAGGTAACTGGCTCTGTGGACGTGGGAAAGTCAGTGGATGTGATATACCTTGACTTTAGCAAGGCTTTTGATATGGTCTTCCACAATATTCTTGCCAGCAAGTTAAGGGAATGTGGATTGGATAAATGGACAGTAAGATGAATAGAAAGATGGCTAGAAAGCCGGGCCCAGCGGGTAGTGATCAATGGCTCGATGTCAGGATGGCGGTTGGTTTCTAGCGGAGTGCCCCAAGGTTCGGTTCTGGGACCGGTTTTGTTCAATATCTTTATTAATGACCTGGATGAGGGAATGGATTGCACCCTCAGCAAGTTTGCAGATGACACTAAGCTAGGGGGAGAGGTAGATACGCTTGAGGGAAAAGATAGGGTCCAGAGTGACTTAGACAAATTGGAGGATTGGGCCACAAGAAATCTGATGACGTTCAACAAGGACAAGTGCAGCGTCCTGCACTTGGGACGGAAGATTCCCAAGCATTGTTACAGGCTGGGGACCAACCAGCTAAGTAGTAGTTCTGCAGAAGAGGACCTGGGGGTTACAGTAGATGAGAAGCTGGATGAAAGTTAACAGTGTGCCCTTGTAGTCAAGAAGGCTAATGGCATATTAGGTTGCATTAAGAGGAGCATTGCCAGCAGATCCAGAGATGTCATTATTCCCTTTTATTTGGCTCTGGTGAGGCCATATCTGGAGTATTGTGTCCAGTTCTGGGCCCCCCACTACAAAAAGGATGTGGACGCATTGGAGAGGGTCCAGCAGAGGGCAACCAAAATGATTAGGGGGCTGGAGCATATGACCTATGAGGAGAGGCTGAGAGAGTTGGGTCTGTTTAGTCTGCAGAAGAGAAGAGTGAGGGGGGATTTGATAGCAGCCTTCAACTTCCTGAAGCGAGGTTCCAAAGAGGCTGGAGAAAGGTTGTTCTCAGTAGTGACAGATGGCAGAACAAGAAGCAATGGTCTCAGGTTGTGGTGGGAGAGGTCTAGGTTGGATATTAGGAAAAACTATTTCAGTAGGAGGGTGGTGAAGCACTGGAAGGGGTTACCTAGGGGTGTTTAAGTCTCAGCTTGACAAAGCCCTGGCCGGGTTGATTTAGTTGGGATTGGTCCTGCCTAGAGCAGGGGGCTGGACTTGATGACCTTCTGAGGTCTCTTCCAGCTCTATGGTTCTATGATTCTATGAGTAGTATAATAATTTAGGATTTATAGATTTTTCTAAAATTCATGTGTTTCAAGAAATCTAGAATATTCTCTGAAGACTTCTTTAGCTAACAGTACAAAAAAGCAAGATGTTAGCCAGTGCATTTAGGTTATGTTTACATAATACATCACATGAATATCTATATAGTATATAAATACCATATACTTATGTGTGTGCTTGGTAAGCATGTTAAGTTGTACAATGCTTATTTTTGTTCTTTTGTCCTTAGGCATATATCCTGTGGTCTCCTGGAAGACACAGCTCAGAACTTGGCTTAAGCAAATACAAAAAAGTCAAAAGCTAGATGGATGAGCATTATGAAACAAACGTACAATGTAGTACAAGAAATAATGAAAGATTTATGAACATTGTGTTAGGGAGTATTTCCATGCCCCTTAACATTTGGAATTTAATAGTCAAATGAAAAATGAGAAAGTACAAGGAGGCACCAAAGACAAAGCTGGCTTATTAAAGTTTAAGTTCTCTTGTACTTATAAACAGCCTTGCTATAAACGAATGGCTAGTTTAAGGTGGCTTTGGGAAGTACATTCTCTGTGTAAGATGAACAAAACTCATTGCTAGACTTCAGTTCCCGGGAAGAGATGTATTAACTTTTTCATGCACTGTACTGGGTGTTGTCTTTAGACAATACATTTGGCTGAGCATAGTTATGTAAATTCTTAATATCAAACTGCGTGTATGGTCAATTATTTGGCAATACCTTTTACTCACCAGAAATATGTCATCATAAAGATGCTGTAGTGGAAAAGAAGATATGTAGTTTAAGACATTCAATCACTCTGTAATATGATTTTTTCTCCTGGTCAGCTTGGTTAAAAGATATTCTCTCATGCTTTTGAACTATTTATTTTACCACTAAAACTCTATTTCTAGTTATATCTTATATTATAAATCAGTATCTCAATATGTTGTGGTAGGGTGGTTCTACCACATCAGGCATGAGAGCATATGGGTTTCATGCTGCAGAGAATTAAGGCGTGTCAGTTCCATTGCCTGACCTATCATCAGAGAGGTGTATCACTTGGTCATTCTTCTCATCATAGATGCCCTCACCAAGTTAGTCTTGGGAGAGAAACCTTATGTCCTGAACTACTTTTCTATTGTCTTACTTAGGACCTTTTAGGTAGATAAAGCCAGCATACTTCAACATAACCTCTTCCTAGTACATGAAGAAATTTGGTTACATATTTTTCCTCCTCTCCCCACAAAAAATACAACCCTCCAAAAAACCTAAAGCCCGAAGAGATCCCACACTCCAAACAAACAACCCAGAGACCAAATCCATAAGTTATTTAAGTAGTCATTGTGAGTTGGGATTTGCCTTTATCCCTAGCCCTCAATGCAAAAAGCTAAAATACTCCGATGGTAATCATTGCCATTGCAGCCCTCAAGGCACGCTTCTTTTTTTGTGATCCACCAGAGACAAAATTCACTTTTTAAAAAAAAGCATTTAAGGAACACTTTCAGTAATGGCTGAATATGAATCAGCCTCAAAGGATTTGGGGACTGAGTCAAAATTACTCTTTATTCTAATTTATGGGCAATTTAGATCATAGGTTGGTTTTAATTTACATGATATTCCACTGTCATATCAACAGATTAATAAAGAATGTTTGGCCTCTTAATATTAGACATTTATATCTAATACCATAATCAGACATTACAATATTATTGTACAGTTATTACCATAAACCATTTATATTATAGTGGAAGAAACTGTGCAACCTTTAGTGTCTGTCACTGCAATAAAAGTTTTCATTGTGACGTAAGCCCAAGGAACTGATCAGCTCATTTCATATAAATGGTATGATGATGTCAGTCACTAGTGACTTGGATGCCAACATATTTGTTTTAAAATGCATATCACTTTGTTTGGGCTGAAAAATTCTAATAGAAAAGGATTTAAAAAAATCCTTTTTATTGCCATATGAGTGAGAGTAATTTGGTTAACAAGTACCTGTCTTTAGGTATGGTGTTTTTTTAATTACATGGCTCAGAATTCTAGTCTGTTGATTACCTCTTTCCACAGGCAGAACCATTTTGCTTGTGGATGAAAATATCTTTTAGTAATAGCTTCAATTTTTGTTAATTATTGTTTGTTTTTTATTCAACACTAGTCAGAAATTTAGAAGTCTCTCTTTTGGGTGGACAGCAGGAAAGGTAAGGTAGAAAGCATTGTTCATATTGCACAGGTTACTGGATTACTGTCCAACATTCACAAGCCTGTAGTCTGATTAAACTTCTGCCTGTTACATAAATATTTTTATTTTAAAGGACCAAAACCAGCACTATATTTTAGCAAGCTGACTTTGGCTGGTTGTGATGTGAATAGGCAATAAAAAATTAGTTAAAAATTAGGTCTGCTAATTAGTACTTAATGACAGATTGCGATAAAAAGTGTCAGATTCACATGGTGGCTAAAAAAATTAGCATTCAATGCATATCAATGAGGTTTTATTTGAATTAACTAAAGAGTTAAATATTAAAGCAAGTTAAAATAAAAGTCTACATTAAATTACAATATTAAATAGTTTTTAAATACATTTATTGTACTAAACATATGATATGGCTTTTGGTTTCTAACACAGAAGAAATGGAATAAAATAATTCAAAGACTGCAATACAAGTAATGACACCAGATGACAGAATGAGGACTTTAATATGGAAACCCACAAGATGTCAGCTTTTAGCAAGGAATACTTAAGAAGGGGTTGTGGACTTATAATTTATGTGTAATAATTACATTACATAAATTTAGTAAGTTATTTTCAAGAAAATATTGCTCTGTTAAATTCTCATTAGGCCATGATCAAAACTCCTTTGGTAGCTTTTAATCAGAATGAAACACCATTATGCAAATCCTGTAAAACAAAAGAGAGGCTTGTAAATATTACCACAAAATGTATTTTCCTTATACAGTTACAATTATCTAACAGATCTACATGTCCTTCATTCTTTAATTCAAATCAACTTACATATATACAATATGTAACAGGGAACTCACAAAATCCTTAGTCTCTCAAGACAATCTATGTTTTCACAATATCAAGACTGTATAAAGCCTTTGAAAACTTCTCTTCTTGTGTTGAGTGCACTGTACAGTAGTTATCCTATATTTGTGTCTAAAGGCAAAACTAAATTTAACTGAAGTTTTACATGAACAGTGATACAAATCAATTGCCCAAGAGCAAAAAAATTCACAAATGAATACCTTAGCTAAATTATCAGACAGCTCACTAGACATTTTTTTTTACACAATTGTCCTCTTGGCACTTCAAAGATTTCACTTCAAAACCTGATTTATCCAAACCAGACTGAAGTTTACAGCTATTTTGAAAGAAAATTAAACAAACATGATGATAACAATATTGTGGTGTACAATTTCAAATATTTACTGAATGTTTGTACATAAGCATTAATCAATTAAAAGGGGTTTTAAAAGATACCCAAGTGATTTGTATAGCTAAAGAATGCAGCATTAAGGGTCTTTATGAATGTTCAGTCATAAACACATACATACATAGCCAGACTTGCATCTGTGACAGAAAAATATTTCAAATAATTATTTTACCTTCCCATCTAACTTCAAAAGTTAGTTTTAAACAAAGTAGAATAAACAAATCTCGAAGGACTCAAAAGAACAAGTGGAAGAACTAAAAGAAAAAAATGTGCCATTTAAAATCACTACGAAGTCTTGACAAGATCATCCAAGAAACTTTTCCTTTGCATCTCATCCACGCCAGGGCATGCAGCTGGTTGAATAATATACACCAACTTGAGACATGTTAGAGGTAAAGTCTGGAGACAGCATAGGTATTCAATGTCCTGAATACATTATTCTGGTGTTTTTGAGGGGGAAAAAAAAACAGTTCTCTCCATTATGCAACATAGTGGTATTGATTGGGGTTGTCTTTGTCTCTCTCCATATAGTCTCTGTCTATGAGAGATTCAATCCTTTTTTTCAAGTCTCCAGGCTGTAAGAACAGATCAGATTAGTAATATAAATGAAATATGAAAATAAATTATTTTCAATCTCATAATCGTCAAGTGAGGACAGTAATCTTTATTAAAAAAACAAAAACAGAACGATACACTGTATAACAGAGCAAATTAAAAAATGCATTTTTAAACAAACTCCTGGTAAAACCTGCTGACTTTTTTGTTCCTCACTGTTATACAAAACATATTTGAATATTTCAATTTTTGGATTTAATGGTTGAATTAAAATCAATGCTATATACTTATTTTATCATCTTATACAAGGGACATGAAGAGCAGAAAAATTAATGAAACCAGGTATTTTAAAATAATTACAGTAATGGATGGAAAAGGAAATTAAGTTCACATGTCCGTTTACCTTTACTGGAAATTTCAGCTGATTATACAATTCAGAAACAAGGAGGTTATGACAGAGTATCTTTCTCATCTTCATTATTCGTACAATAGCAGCATCAATCTGATACTGTCTATCTTGAAATACTCTTTCAGTTGTGCTAACCTGTTCTTCAACCTAAAGGACAAGGCAACAAACATAAAGCTATCTTTCATTGGTGATTCCTCTGAATGCTTGTTTAAGCTTTAGTGAAATATACAAGTAATGTATAAAATGAAACAATATTTACTCATTTTTCTCTGACATAAGCATGCATATTTAAAACTAGGGCTCTGGGATGTTCTGATGCAGTTAAAGAGAACTAAAGACACAAATCAAGCATACACCAATAAAATTAATACAATGCTTTAAAAAAGTTAGCTGGATAAATCAAACTACAATAAAAAACCAACAGTATTTCTTTAATTAAGATAAATATATAAAATATATATATCACAGCGTTAGTTTAGTCAAAATAGATGCAAAGAACAAGACCATTTTAATACGTACTGTTTCTTTCATCTGTATTTGGTTGATCTTTATTCGAAACAATTTATGCTTGAAGTCACCATTAAAAATGAATTTGTCTCCATCATCTACTTCCTTGCCTTTGGGATTTTTGATCAATACTCGTGCTTTCCCACAGGCCAAAGACTGCAAGGTTCTTCGTAATTCACTGTTCTCTGTAAACATGTTAAAATACAATAAAACTGACTAGAACACGGACATGTGAAATATTAAATTGTTAATTTATAAATACAATTTAAAATATTTGTTCTTTTCTGAAGTACATTGCTAGTAATTTCTTCTAACTAATTCCTAACTATGCAATGTAATTCACAACTTTAAAGGCCCAATCCTATAGATCTTACTTACATGTAAAGATTATTGATATTTCAACATTGTGCAAGTCATGAACAAAGATGTGGTCCTAGACTCAAGGAGTTTACAATCCAAAAGATAAAAGATCAGACAAGAATGTAGTTGGAGACTTTGAGATTATAAAGAAAAATAGTCATCTGTGTTACCCTGTGCTTCACCAGTGGATACTGGGTTAGGGTACTGGGATGGTATAAGTATGTTCTAAGTTGAATATTATGTTAAAAGAATACGTGGAAAGATGTTTATGCTCCCAGGAAAACTTTTATGCACTAAAAAACAATACAATATGAAATAAGTAGAAACAAATAAAGGAAATAATGAATTTTAATATATAAAGCACATAATCAAGTGACTTTGGTGTTAGGCAAAACAAACATTAATACACTAAATACAGTGTTAAACTTTGTAAAGACTTTTGTTAAAGCCCTGCCAATTTAAAAATGAATGTACATTTTGTTGTTCTCTGCCTAGTCTTTAGAATATCATTACCCACAATATAAAACCACAATAAAACATGTTAGAATAGCATTGTGTATGAACCTATGAACTGAAATAGCAAAGATTTTGCAAGCTAGTGCTGAAGTGTATTAGAGAAGTTGAGTAAAATGCTAACATTATTAGATCTAAAATTAGCCCAATTAGAGAATAGTTTAGCTTTCAACAATCCTGCAACACTATCATCATCAAGAAAATCTTTTTCACTCCTTCTTGTATGGTAAAGGAGCAGATGGACAATTATAAAATATTAGAATGCAATAATTAAACAATAAGCACCCATATGCTTTATTTTAAGCACTATAAAGAATGGTTACTATCCATTAACTGTGGTTCTTCAAGATGTATCGTCCACATATAATTCCATTTCTGGTATGCATGTATTTCAGATGCAGAAAATTGGTTTGTTTTTGAATAGCAGTGTCTGTTGGGGCCACAGCTGTCCCCTGGATAAATTGCTATCTACACATACACAGTGTAAACCCTGATCTGCACCCAGGCTAAAGCTTAAACACACCGTGTGTTCATACTGCAAATGTGCTAACTTAGGGCTCAGACCCAAGATTTCAGGATCCTGCCAGTCTGAAAGGTGTGAGCCTGTGTTAAACTGGGACGCAGAGTCTGAGGCCTACTGGTTTTCTGTGGGTTTGTGGCCCCAGCTTGACTCAAGTCCCAGAAGTCCTCCAGATACATATTTCAGAGTTTCCTGACAACAAAGGAGTAGTGCTGCAAACAGAGAGCATGATGACCAGAAGTGTTGCTACTATCTGGTTAAGCGTGTTCTCCCCTTTCCTGCTCTGTGGATCTTGCCCAGAGCAGGCAATGAAGTTGGCAGGAGCCATCTCCTGCCTGCTGGAATGTTGCAGGTCATTCCTCTGTGGACTGTGATGAGTCTAGAGCTCTGATGCTTCCTCTCCCTGGAAGACAGCCACTTAGCGCTGCTCTGATCTCTGGCCCTTACTCCTAGATCCTTCCTGCCCTTCCTGGAACATTGTGTGCAGGGACAGCCAGGCAGTATGCACTGTGAGTGGGAGACAGCCCCAAAACATCCCCATAGCCTCTGGGGATCCATTATCCCTGCCTCCCAGAATGCAGCAGGAGCAGGGTTAAGGGATCCACAAGGGCTGGATCACACTGCACCCCATTCCTGGACAGGAATGTCATCACTCTGCATCCAGGCTGTGTTATACGTGTGTGTTTTCCTCTGATATCTTCATTTCATGTCCAATTTCAGAACAAACAGATACACCTTCATTGAACATCCCACTTTAAAATTAAGAATGGAAAAGTTTAACTTTAATAGTTTGACAGCCATGAAAACTGATGTTCTACTTCTCCTCAGAACAAGTGCACAGGAGCATTTTCCTGCCAATATGACTAATTTCAGAGCTGGAAAGCCCAATTGTCAGATTATGTGGTAGTTCAGTATAAAGCCTTCTTAAACTGAAGTTGTTCTACTGAGACAGCCACCAAAGGAGCAAATCAGTCCGTTTATGTACTCGTGTTCTCCTTATGGGCACCCAAGTCCCATCAATAACACCCTAGGGAACAGCGTGGGCAACAGAGGGCGATAATATCAACACCGGGGTAGAGAGCGATAGGCACTATGGCATAGGTTTATTTTGATTTGGGTTTGTGCTCTACAGTATGGACTCCAGGGCATTAGGTTAGAGCACAGGTCAGAAAATTCTTGACCTAGGGTTAAAATGTAGTGCAGATGCAGAAGGTTACTCACCATGTGCAATAAATGAGGTTCTTCAACGTGGTTGTTTTTGTGGGTTCTCCACTTCGGATGTTTTTCACACCATGTGCTTCTAGTCAGAGACTTTTGGTAGCAGTGCCCCTATTGGCTACACACATGCAGCAGCAGTTGTCTAATGTTGCTCTGAGGCTACATCTACACTACGGGATTTTTGTGCAAGAAGCTTTTTGCGGAAGAGGTCTTCCACAAAAACTTCTTGTGCAAGAGTGAGTCCATCCTACAAAAGCACATCACAAAAGTAATGAGCTTTTGCACAAGAGAGCATCCAGACTGCATGAATGCTCTCTCGAAAGAAAGCTCTGATTGCTATTCATAGAATAGCCACCAGAGCACTTGTGCTTTTTTCGATTGGCTCTTTTTGCGCAAAAGCCCAGTTGCCTGTCCACACACACCTTTCTGTGGAAGAACTCTTGCGCAAAGGAGTTATTCCCTGTAGAAAGAGGAATACCTACACTGCAAAAACCCCTCTGTTCTTTTGATTTACTGTAAATTGATTTGCACAAAAACACACTTGAGGTGCGGACGCTCCGCAAAAACAGCAATTTTGCACAAAAACTTCCATTTTTGCACCAAACCCCTGTAGTGTAGACATAGCCTGAGTGTCTACCCTGAATGCGCAGCCAACTGTCACCCACTTCCTTCCCTACCCTCTTCGAAACAGAGGAGGGTCAACCATCTCGAAGAACCTCAGTTACTGCTCAAGGTGAATAACCTCTTCTTTGAAGACTGTCCCTGCGGGTGCTCCACTTAAGATGATGGAAGAGCAGTGATTCTTGGTGGAGAGGAGGGGTTTCAGAGTTGATGTTTGTATGGTGGAGAACACGCATAGTTGAAATCGAGCAACTGCAGCTGACTGTTGTTTCAAGGCATAAAATATGGTGAAAGTATTGGGTGATGCCCAGGTAGCTGTTTTACAAATATCAATGATGGATACATGTTTGGGAAAAGCTATGGATATGGACATAGCTCTAGCGGAGTATGTGTGAAGTCCAGAGGGAGCTTGCAAATTGTAGTTTTGGTAACATAGTCTGATACAATTAGAGATCCATTTAGAAAGTCTCTGGTTCCATTACTGCTTAAACAATGGGCAGATGTCCTTGGGAGTCCCAGCTGGAATAGCTTGGCTCAGAGAGAAGAATGTGGCAAGTATGTGGTGACATCTCTCCACTTTGCTTAGTTGTAGAGAAGAGGGAGCATATCTTCTCAATAGGCAGAGAACTTCTTTCAGAAGTTCTAAAAGGCCCAAGGGTATCTTTTGCCAAAATTGGCTTATACGTCTCCCCTCCTCTACTTTTTTATAGCCTTCTGCTCTGACACTGTCACGGCATCAGTACTGGTAGAGGCAGGAACAGGCTTCAAAACCACTGCTGAAGTCATCTGGTGACAAAATGGTGCAGAGATATCAGCAGGATTTAAAATGAGCCTTGAATTGCCCCTGGTTTGGACCTACTCAGAGCTGTTGAGTGAATGTCTTCAATGTCTCATCAGAAGATTGAACTGAATATGGTTTAGAACAGGGGTGGGGAACCTAAGGCCCGGGGTCTGGATGTGGCCCCCAGCTTGCCTGGATCTGGCCCCCAAGACTCAGAGGTCTCCCCCCTACCCCAGCATTGGGGAGCCTGTGCTGGCACTTCAGCCCCCTGCTGCCCCACCGCAGGGCTGAGCACACAAAACCTACAAGCCTGGGCCCTCCTGGGCTCTGCTGTGTGAGGGGAATGGGATGAGTGTCTTTCTCTTTCTCAGTCAGAGGCCACGTCAATGAGGGCTTGTTTGTTTTTTTCTTCTTGCTTGTGTGAGGCCCCTGACTGATTTTTCTGCAGGTCAGTGACCCGAAACCCAAAAAAGGTTCTCCATTCCTGGTTTAGAAGCTCTCACTGACTCTAATCAAAAAGTGAGTCCCGGAGTTCAAGGTAGACCCAGGGCTTACTGGACCACTCACAGAGACTGATCTAGTTTGGTTGTTGTCTTCTCCTCAGGCTTAGATAATGCTCTTGCATTTCTCTCAAAGAGCATGTTTTTGACAGGATTCCCTTTCTTTGTATGTCCATTTTGTGCAAAATAAATACTTGATATATTTATCTTTTTTCGGTCTCAACAGGCTAGCTGATTTTTAAAAAAATGATCTTGTGCCTATGGGATTCATGCACATGAGAAGTGGAATACACATGGACAATCACACAAGGACTATATTAATTCAACCCCCCAATAAAAACAAATCCAACTGTTCTAAAATGGTCATTTTAAAAGACGGATTCTTGAAACTACAATAGAACCTTAATAAACTGCACAGAAAAAAATGCAGTCTCTCTCTACTTCTCAAAGAACTGAAAAAGCTGTACTGAAGTCTTGTTACTGAGAATGTATCATTTTTACAAAATATACAACAGATAATTTACTAATACATTTACAAAATACCACTGTTATCTATAAAGTAGAAGTAGTACTTTTTTTCCCCTATTTCCTTACTCTCTGATTCACAAAGGTGTCCAAATAGTCATTGCAAGTTATTGAAATTAGCAAAATTGTGCTGTACTTACCATCAAGCTTTTACATCCCAACTCATATTTAGAAGCTATTTAAATAAAATAAAATTATGAATGCATGAAGCAATTTTTCATACCTACACCAGTGGCCATTTTAATTTCTTCAAAAATAAATTCATCTCCTTCATTAAACATAAGCAGCACTAATGTCTGGAAGAGTGACACATGCAAAAAAAAAACAACCCATAAGTAACTATAAATGTTATACTCAACTCCAGAAATCATTAGAGTATCAACTGTATCCTATACAGTTCCAAACTTCAAAAAAGAACTCTGATGACAGGTTGTATAATCTATAGATTATTTAACAAATAGCTTCTAGATCGGGGTAAGCAAATTTCAGTCTGCAGGTCAGATCCAGTCTAAAGGGTTAGTCCCTGGCAGGCCCCCACCTCTTTATTTACCTGCACCTCTACAGGTATTGGGCGATCGCAGCTCTGGTTGGCCACGGATTGCCATTCATGGCCAATGGGAGCGGCAGGAAGTGGTATCACAGTCTGCGGCCAACAAGAGCTGTGATCACTCGATACTTGCAGAGGCACAGGAAATGTAGCAGTGGTGGCCTACCAGGAACTAACTCTTGTGGCCCCCCCCCTTTTTCTTTATTGCCCACCTGTTCTAGATGAAAAAAAAATGCATATTTTAAAAGATTCTATTGTTTGATTATGTATACTACATATAGTGCCAAGGAAATATAACAGTAGAAAGACAATTGCCAAACCCCCTCCTCCCAAAACCAACCATCCAAAAACCCAAACAACCCTGGACATTACATTGGTAGTGTAATGAACCAAGAAGGTTACCGGTTAGTCACCTAATAGCATTTTCTTCTAGGTACACACAATGGGTAAAACCCTGTCTCCACTGAAGTCAATTGCAAAACTCTCAGGCTATGTCTACACTGCCTTCTCTTGCGCAAAAAACATGCAAATGAGGCAAAGCGTAGAATATCGCCATGCCTCGTTTGCATAATTAATTAGGCTCTGGTTTTGCGGACGAGGCTTTTGCGCAAGAGCTGTTCTTCCTCTTTTTTTCAGGAAGAATGGCTCTTGTGGAAAAGCCTGTTGCACAAAAACAGAGCCTCATTAATTATGCAAATGAGGCATGGCGATATTCCACACTTCGCCTCATTTGCATGTTTTTTGCGCAAGAGGGGGCAGTGTAGACATAGCCTCACGGATTTATATGGCCCAGAATGTCACCTAATGTGTTGTTTCATAAAGGTAAGAAAACTAACATGAAAGGTATCAGTCATACAAAACTTGACAGAACACCAACACATTCTTTTTAATTCATGCAGTTCTGCAGCAACCACATTAACAGAAGTGTCTTGTATGTAAAATTAGGCAATGGGAAGGAGATTAATAATTCCAGATCCCCATGCACAAACAGGATTTTAAATTGGTTGTGAATTACAAAGTTCTCGGTCATTGTAACTTTACATAATCTCACGGCTGTAAAATTTTGTATTTATAACTAGTCATTGTCAACATCAGAGTAAAATGATTTTTGTCTGTGCTCCAGTACAATGACGTTGTTACACTGATTAAGCTATGAGACAGAACAAAAGCTATATTAAGAAACATTTCAGTTATTTAATACTTTAACAAGCATGTAAATTTAACTACATTCATTACATTATACAGGAGACTCTTGTGTTTACAAAAATCACTATTTGCAGTTCCATGTATTCATGGGTCTCCTGTCCAGGCTTGGAGGGAGGTGCAGCAGGGGCTAGGAGCCATGGGGAACTCAATATGGCCCCTGTGGTGAATTCCCCGCAGCTGCCAAGAGCCATGGTGAGTGTCTTGTGGCACCTGGACCCTGTGGTGAGTTTGGAAGTTGTGAAGCTGTGGCTCCCAGTATTTGTGATAGGCAGGGCTCGACACGTAATGTAATCTACTCGTCCATGGTGAGTAGATTACAAGCCGGCACAGCCGCGCAGCGCAGTCTGCGCATGCGCAGCATGTCGAACCGCGCAGCTGACGAGTGGGGCTTGCCACCACTTGGCGAGCCCTAATGATAGGCAAGGGTTTCCTGTACCACTGATACTTTTCAGCATAGCTTTATAATAGCTAAGATTAATAGTCAATCACTAGTTCCTTCAAAATACTATTAAAATTTTCCTTTTTTTTTTTTAAGTTTCTTTCCTTTTACAGGTTTCTCTTCACTAACAAATGAATCTTCTTATTGCTAAGTCATTGCTAAAAGATGTTTCATTCAGGAGTTTTCACGTGCTTAATTAAAATACCACATTCTATATAAATGTATTTATATAATGGTTATAAAATCTGTAACACTTTTCTAAATAGTGAATATAGAATTTTGTTAGATTCTAGTCTTCTCTGCAAAAAGTTTTATTAAGTAATGTAATGCTAAAAAGGCAAGAGGTGCCAAATAAGTTATTTTATTTAAAGCAGATAGTTAAGCATTAAATAAACAAACATACTTCCTTAAATTCTGCTTTCAAGACAGCATGCCCTAAAGTGGTCTGCCACTGAAGCTTTCGACCACTGTGTTTTCCAAGATAAAAGGTCTTAAATACCTCTTGAAGCTTAACCATCTGAAAGAAAAAAAAAAAAAAAGAGGAAAAAAAGTTAGCATATCTTGACCAAACATATTCTCACAGATGATATTCACAGAAGTAGTGTGTTAGGCTCATCTTAATATTTTAAATGGAAGTTTACACAAAAGTAAAGTTCAGGGGCCAAATCTTCCCTCATTTGTGCCAGACTAAACAGAGCAAAAACTGATGCCAAAAGTTGCTGCTCATCATTCGTATAATTTCCCTGAAATGAAATAAATATTAGTTAAGATAAACCCAACTTCCCATTGAAAAAAAAGAATATATACCAAAGTGGTGTTTTCATCCTGGACCTACCATCATCTGTTCCCCACATATGATGAAATTGGAGGAGGAAGAGAGGAGAGAAGGTTTTTAAAAGCCCCACTCCCATACTGAATTCTGTTCCCAAGTCCCCACAGATTTTAAGACCAGGAGGGCTCGTAGGCTGTCTACATAGCAACATTATTTCAAAATAATATAGTCCGTATCTCCACAGCCAGCAGTTATTTCAACATAATATCGAAAATGTCAAGCTGGAGGACTTTTTACTGTGACACCTGTAACCCTCATTTTATGAGTAAGAGAAGTTGGAGGAAGAGTGCTCTATTTCCAAATAAGTGCTGCATAGACAGCATCAAAACTCGAAATAAGCTATTTCAAAATATGCTACACAACTGACGTAGCTCAATTTGTGTAGCTTATTTTGAGTTTAGCCCTGCTGTATAGATGCACCCATAGTGATCATACTTCAACGGTTCTCAATCGGTGGGTTGTGATCCAAAAGTAGGTCATAACCCTATTTTAGGGGGGTTTGCCAGGACTGTCTTAGACTTGCTGGAGTCTGGGGCTAAAGCCTGAGCCGTACTACCTGAAGCTGAAGCCCCATGAGCTTCAGACCTGGGCAGTGGGGCTCATGTTATAGGCCCTCTACTGGGGTCTGGTGCCCTTGGGCTTCAGCTTTTTTCTTCCACCCTGCTAATGGTGATGAGGCTTAAGCTTTGGCAATGGGGTTCGCACAGGCTCAGGCCCCCACTTCTGGGGCCATGTAGTAATTTTTGTTGTCAGAAGGGGGTCACAACTGCAATGAAGTTTGAGAACCCTGGATCTAATCTGACTACTCACACACTGCAGGACACAGAACATCATTTACTCTTTCCTCTAATAGACTCATAAGCTCTGGATGAATTACTCAAGTCCTCAAGTCATGATTTATAGATGTCGAAGTTTACACAGAGTCCACATTATTTGCAAATCACCCATGTCCCATTCTGCAGAGCAGTACTAAAACTGCCCCAGGATTCTGCCAATCTGACCTGAGGGAAAATTCCTTCTCAATTCCAAATATGGTGATCACTTGAAACCAGAGCATGTTGGCAAAATCCACAAACCAGATGCCTGAAAAATAACTCTTTGTGACTCCTGCGATTGGTTTGCCCTCCTAACTGCAGCCAAGGCTGCTTCCAGCATTTTATGTCCCATTTCTCACTATCCTATTCAACCCCACCATTAGCAGCAGTCCACTGAGTTTAAGGACTCCATCAACTGTCTGCCTGAACCTAGGGGACTAAAAGGGCAAAAGTTTCTTCTGCCTGTAAATCCAGGGTCACGGCTACAACCCATTGTTGGATCTCAACACTCAGCCTGCCTTTTCAGCGAGGTAAGGGTGGGGTTAAGAAAAATGTGTATATCTGACAGAACCACTCAATTAATTTAATTACTATTAAAATAGGCTTTGCAATATCTGGTAACTGAAGTTATCTCTTTACAGGATAATTTAATGTAAATAAAGGGTGTTTTTTTTTAAAGCAGAAGGGTCCTATGGACTTAGACACTGGACCCAGGTGACTAGATAACCAGTGTGAAAAATCAGGGGAGGGTGAGGAGTGATAGACGCCTGTACAGTAAATCTTCGCTTAACACGTGCCCGCTTAACACGTTTTCGCGATAGCACTATTTTGTTGGGGCAACATTTTTCGAACAACACGACCCATCCCTGCAATAACAGGATGTCCCCTAGGGCCGGCTGGTGGCCGGCAGCTGCATGAGGCTTTCCCTGCAAAGTGGCAGAGGTTCGCCACTCACCGTGCTGTTCCCCGGCGACCCCCTCTGGCTGGATGCTTCGCTCCCTTCTCCTCCGCCCCCCACTTACAGCCGGCGGCTGGGTTTCCCCGGCTGGCTGGTCGCTGGCAGCTGTGTGGGACTTCCTGTGCCTCCTTGCCCGGCGAGAAGGGGTCACCGGGGAATGGTGCGGCGAGCGGCAAACCTCTGCTGTTTTTGCAGGGAGGAAGGGGAAGTCCCACACAGCTGCTGGCGGACCGG